CCTGAATTGAATTGGGGCTGAGACCTGCCTTTCATCTGGAACAAATCAACGATTACTGGATACTGATTCATTCATTCAATATTTGCTATGAGTCAAAGAGTAGATGTAAAACAGACAAAACTCCCTACGCTTGTGCAGCTTATATCCAATGAGAAAACAAGGAAAATGAACAACCAAAAACAGCAAATTCTCTCGTATACAAGACAGTGACATCCCAGAGAAACAGGAGAGAGGAACAGTGAGGGGAGAAGCAGGTGGCGACAGTTTTACACAGAGCACCTACTATATGACAGATTCAGTATTTGTCTCCACACCTAGAACATGAGCTCCCTAAGGGCAAGGGCTCTGTCTTATATTCCAGTGCTTGGTATCTGATATAGTTGGTGCTCAATAAATAGTGAATGGATGAATGGATGAATGAATGAATATAGACATTGTCTTTGCCCTCATGTGGCTTACATTGTAGGGGGAGAGACCAATAGCAAACATGCATTAAATATATAATTACAATCTGCGATGTGTACTCTAAAAGAAATGAATGGAGTATTGTGATAAATAACTGGAGGGGTGGAGGGATCTACTTTGGTTAAGACGACCCAAGAGGGATTCCCTGAGCCAGTGATATGGTGGCATTTGAGCTGAGCCTGAAGTATGAGAAGGAGCTGGCCTCATGCAATCACTGGCAAGGAACACTGCAGCCGGAGAAGACAGCCTGCGCAAAGGCAGGACCTGGTGCGTCTGAGGAGCAGAGAGGCCACGGTGGCTGGAATGGAGTGAGTGGGGAGGAAAGGGGGGCCAGACGCAGCTGTGAAAGCTGGGAGGGCCTGCAGTCACACAAAAGAACTATGAGGTTTTAGGTTAAACCATAAGAGCAGTGGGAAGTCATTGAAACATAAAGCAGGAAAATTAAAGGTTCTGATCTCTGTTTTTTGTTTTTGTTTCTTTTTAAAAAAGGAAGGAAAGAAAAAAAGAAATGCTCCCTAAGCAGCCAAAGGGAGAGCAGACTGAGGAAGCAGAGGCCCCTGGAAGCAGATGGATCTAACTAGGTGGCCAGTGACATTGAACAGTACCTAGCAGTTCAAGGTGTATCCAGGCCTTTCCTGTGCACCACCTCTGCCGTCTGCTGCCTCCGCACTGGGGCTGGCACCGCCGAGGTTGCCCTGGTCCGGAGGAGGCAGGACTGAGGATGCCTGGGCTCTTGGTCTCCTCTCTGGTGAACCCGGATGAGCTCCAGGCTGAGCCGGGAAGGGGCCAAAAAGGCAGCAGGCAAGGACCAGAGGTAGAGAATGAGAGAGAGTCACGGGGAGACAGACAGAAGCAAGAAAAAGGTGATAAGTCCCTGACTGGTGGTTGGGTGCAGTCCCGCAAAGCAAAAGATTGCCAGTTCGATTCCTGATCAGGGCACATGCCTGGGTTGAGGGTTCGGTCCCTAGTCAGGGTGTGTAAAAGAGAAAACCAATCAATGTCTCTCTCCCTCACACTGATGTTTCTCTCCTTCTCTTTCTCCTTCCCTTCCCCTCTCTCTATAAATAAATTCCTTATTTTAAAAAGTGGCGATGGGGAAGAAATGGAGACAGAGAGATGCTGGAGCAGAGAAGAGACAGAAGGCACTACCCAGAAAACGAAACTCAGGGAGAGAAACCTGGGGAACAGCGGGAACAACCAAGAATGCTGCCGTTTGCAGATGATGCTTACAGGGACCTCCGACAGAGGAACACCGTGGATTCTACTGGTTTTGGACGTGGAAAGCAAGGCTCAGAGAGCATAAGGCACTTGCCGAAGGTCACATGGCTGGTACGTGGTGGGCCCAGGACACAAACCTGCACCAGACTGATTCCACTCCCCTCCACTCCCTGTGCAGGGGAAGTCTGCAGGGCAGGGACTCTGGTGGAAGCAGAAGGAACACAAGCAACAGGTGGGCAAATGAAAAGAGAACATTCTGCTTTACTGGAAAAAGACCACAAACCTCTCTCATCCTAGAGAGAAGAGGGAAGGAAGAAGGAAAGTCCTGCCCTGAGTGACCCAAATCTACGGAAAAGGAGACAGCGCCACAGGCAGGATCAGGCCGTGAGGAAATTCAATTACTTTCAACTCATGGAATATTTATGACACCAACCCTGCGCCAGGCCCCGTATTGGGTGCTGGCGTCACGGAGATGCACCAAACAGGGTTCCACTCTTGCCTGGAGGGGGAAATGGGCACATAAACAAAAGAGAGGCTGCGTCCTAAAGGCTGTAACACCTACCCAGAGAAAGCACAAAGGCAACAGGGGTTGACTCAACTTAAGGATTCAGGAAATAACATCCAAAAAATAACGTGTGAACCTGGAGTTTCCCAGGTAGGCAAGGCAGAGAAAAGCATATCAAGCAGAAGGAGCAGGCTGAATAAAGACACAAGACATGGAAGTTCTGAGAAATGTGGGTATCAGGTACAGTTGGGTCATGGTCTGTGCACGGTCCAATAGTAAGAGATAAAGTCAGTGTGGGAGACAGAGTGCAAAGGCCTTGATGCAAGCCCAGGACTATTGGACTTGACCCCCTAGATCAATGGTTTTCAAACTTGTCCCTGAGGGGGAACCCAGGTGTTCCTCCAGCCAAGTTGAGGGGTTTTACCATTGCATTAAAACCAGTCATAATTTTTCTAATTCGCAAGAAGGGAGGTTAATTGCATTGAACATAATTTTTGGTTGTTGCTTTAAGGTGTCTTTCCTCCCTACATTTTTCTGAAGACTTCAGTAAATGTCAGTAGTGTGAGAGAATGATAGAATTAGCATAGAATCACAGTTTTGTTTACAATTTTAAGTTTAATATATCCATTGTTAGTGGTGTTTTACAAAGAACGTAGTTGCCGGTTCTCTCTAAACAAATTGGGGAGGCAAAAAGAAGGGAGGGGAATTCAGTTAGGGAGAAGCCGTTGACACAGTTATGAGAGCTGAGGGCCTACACAGAAGGTGAAGGCGATCAGGATGCAGGGGACCAAGACCAGCCCCAAGGAGGAGAACTGCCAGGCTGCCCACAGAATTGAAAGGAGCCAATTTGGTAGAGAAGATAACGTCAACGGCTCCATGTCACCTAGGGAGTCTCACAAGAGAAGTCGCCCTGTGTGTCACTGTGAAAACAGAAGATAAGCAAGACTGGGAATGTGTGTGTGCGTGCACATGAGGGCAATGTGCACCCAAGTCTTTCCCCCGTCATGGGACACCAACTTTCTCTGTCATGAAAGCAAGTACAGCCCTTTCCAGTGTGACTCAGTTGGTTAGAAGTTGCCAGTTCAGTTCCCCATCAGGGCACATGTCTAGGCTGCAAATTCAGTTCCCAGTCGGAAGCATGTAAGAGAGGCAACCAACTGATGTTTCTCTCTGTCTCCCTACTTCTGTCTCGGAAATCACTAAACATATTTTAAAAGAAAAGCAAATACTTTTTGAGCACATCCTATGAGCCAGACCCTAGTCTGTATGTTTTACAGGTGGTATCTCTTATGTAACCTTCACAGTAACCCTCTAAGCACATTGAGCAAAAGCCCTCGTGTGCCAAGCATTCTTGTGCTCAGTGCTTCAAGTGAAGTGAATAATATCTCACTTGATCCTCGAAACAGCCTTGAAACAGACGCTATTACTTCCTTCATTTGAAGATAAGGAACTGGAGACTCAGAAAGGTCAAGAGACTTGTCCAAAATCACTTTGAAGTGCTTCAGAAAGTGGCTGAGCCAGGACTCAAACCCACATTGGCCCAAGTCCCGCACCTGCACCCTTCATCCCAGCACTTCGCTTTCTTCTCTTCCTCAGAGAAAAGGCTCTGATTTAAAGAGCTTTGGGTCCATAAAATCCAGCGGCAGGAACTTTTCCTTATCCTTCAAAGCCCTGGCTCAGTGTTTCTCAAAGCCTCTTCCCTGGGCCACCTGCATCAGAATATTCTTAAGAGCTTCTAAGAAATGTACATTCCAGAAGGCCTCTCCAAGATTCTAACCCAGTAGGTCTAAGATGAAACCTCAGGTGCTTTTTGTGCATATGGAAGATTTTGAGTCACAGAACTGGCTCCAACAGCACCTCCTCCAAAAACCCCTCCCCCAGCCCCTTCCCAGATACCTCTCTCCTTGACTCCCACAGTGCCCTCTGTCATGCTCTTAACCTTCAACTGGGGTTTTGGTCAAACTCATGTCTTCACTCCACCAAAAACATGATCTAGTGTCTTTACTGGGCTACATCTTTTTACAAAGCACTTCCATTGTCCCACTTAATCCTTTTCTACACCAAGAATTTTCCGACGGGGTCCTCCTCCTTGGGAACCCTCCCTTACATCTGAACACACCGCATTTTACAAGGCACTCCCCCATCCACAATAACATTATTCTACTGTTTCATCCTTTCCGCACAACTGTCTTGAAGGAGGAATATTCTCTCCCTTGTTCCTAGGAGATGACAGACTCCACGTTTCAGTCGCTTCCCCAAGGTTCCCAACCTAGGAAGCAGCAGCAGGGCTTAGTTTAGGACCTAAATCTTCTAACTCCAAAGCCAGTACTCTTGCCTCCACATCAGCTTACATGTACTCTACTCAGTGTAGGGAACTCAGCTGTGCCTCCGTGTGCTATTAGTAGATAGTGTAGATTAAATGAAATCATGCCTTTAATGGCCTGGACACAGTGAGCACTCTATAAATGGTGGGGAAAGGGAGAAACTGAGGCCAGAGGAGGGGAAATGTCTTCCCCAAAATCAAACAGCAGATCGAAGACTGCAGACATAGCTTTAGGCCAGTCTCAGGCGCTCCTTGTTGGGAGATCAACTGCGGTGGGCTCGAAATCTTCGCGACTCCCTCAAGTTCCCCCACCGCGCACCGCATAACCCTCCCTTCCCGCGTAGCCTCACAAAGCGCTACAGCGCTGCCGCGGAGGAAGGGGACGTCTCTTTAAATGCAGCAAGGGGCGTGGTCAAGAGGTGGGGCAGGGGGCGGGGTGCAAGAGCGCGGTCGCGGTCGCGGGAAGATGACGTACCCCGGCGTCCGGCTACGAGTTCTTGGAGTGAACATGTGGGTCAGCGGCACTTTGTGGTTGGCGCGAACCCCGGCCCTGCTGCGGAGGAGGCTGCTACCTGCCCCCGGCTGCCGCCGGCCTGCTGCCACAGCCTACTCTGCATCTGCCGACCCCTCCCGGGTCCGGGCGCTGGTCTATGAGCACCACGGGCACCCAGCCAAGGTCGTCGAGTAAGAGACAGCGCCGAACCGGGGGCAGGGGACTGGGGTTCTTGTAGGGTTTTAGCACGGCTGTGGGGAAGGGGGCCGGGAAGGAAGAGTCAGGGTCCGAGGAAGAAGTCAGAGAATAATAGGACTGAAACAAGCCCAGGCTACGTTTGGTAGCTTGGAAAGTCCGTGCTTCTAAGAGTTAAAGATCCAAGGGGCACAGTTGTAATGGTAACAGTGGCTGACGTTTATGGGTCAAGTACTGTATGTCAGGCAACCCCCGTGTAAATGGATGCTCTCATTTAATCGTCACCACAACCTTTGGGCTAGGTACTTGACTTAGTCTGATTTTTCAGATGAGAAAACTGAGGCGTAAGAGAGGTAAAATCACTTGCCCAAAGTCACACAGCCAGTAAGTGGCAGAATCGGAATTTGAATCCAGGTCTGACTAACTGATCTGCCCGCGCTCTTACCTTCTATTATGTTTTGGAGGGGATTTTCAGAATACTTATATACCCATTTGGATCTTCAGTTCTCAGTAAAGTAGGTCAGAGATCATTGTTTCCATTTTACAAAGGACAAGGGACTTGTCTTTAAGGACAAGTGCTTTACTAATAAAGATTGGAACAGAAACGGGAAGCCATAGCTTCTGACATCTCTTCTCCTGTGGTTTCCTCACCACTGTGCTGTATGTGTGTCTCTAGTTTCAAAGTGCTCCTGTTTTGGAGTCAGTGCAGACCTGAGGTCAAATGCATACTCCGCCTCTTAGTAGCTGTTTGATCTTGGACAAGTCGCTCAGCTCCTCTGAGCCCTCATTACTTTCCTAATAATGTCCTCCAAAAATTCTGGTAGATCTTAATGATTTTTGCTCATGACTGATAAAGACAGTATGTGACTTGTCAACCATTATAAATATGCACATAAGTAACTACAGGCATACCTCGTTTTGTTGCGCTTGACAGACATTGGGTGTTTTGCAAAATGAAGGCAAGACCCTATACCAGCGGTAAGATTGCGACTCGGTTTATTGATAGACTCACTTTGTTGCAGTGCTCTGGACCCAAACCTGGAAATCTCCTGTGTAGCTACTCAAAAGGGCGAGTGTGGGCTGCAGTAGAGCTAAGGTGTGAAAGCCCTGATCTGGAATTCAGAAGACCTGGGGTCCAACCCTTGCCCTCCCTGTCCTAGCTGTGTGTTTGGCAAGTGACCGAGGTTCTCTGAGCCTTGGGTTCATCATCTTTAAAAATGGAGACAATACCTTCACAGCTCACAGTGCTAATCAGCGGAGGTCAATCTGGTGCCAGAAAATACCTACACACTCTTCTGCAGCCCCCTTTTTATGGTTCTGGTCCCCAGCAAATAGTGTGACTGTTTTCCAGAGGATAGGCAGAGGGGACTACTTCATGGTTAACAGACAGGCAGGCCAGAGTGCTCGTGTCAGCAGCACATGTAGTGAAATTGGAACGATACAAAGATTAGCGTGATCTCTACACAAGGGCAGCACACAGATTCCTGAAGCATTCCATACTTTTACCAAAAAAAAAAAAAAAAAAAGACAAGATGGATGTTTTGACAGCCCGAGGGGACACACTTCAGATAAATTCAAAGTCATTCACTCAGCCTAGCCACATCCATTTGAACTGAGACCAAAAGGATTTTGAGAAGACTCATCGGTCAATAAATCCCAAATTGTATGTTGCTCATAAGTAATAAATCACCAGTAAACTCTAAAGTGTATGTTAATCATGAGCAATAAATCACCAGTAAACCCCAAATTCTGTATCAGTCATAAGTAGTAAATTACCCTGAGGACTGTGCTGTAACGATCTGGTAAATCTCCGATGAGCACGCCTTTTCCAAAAATGAGCCCCAGACAGGAACAACGCAGAGCCTTTCTCACAGGCTTGTGACACATTTATGTGTCTGCTCCGGGGCCTGCCACAAAACAGACGCTCCAAAAATGTTATTAATGTGTGTCTGATTTCAGTAAGAAGTGCACCTTTTATTGTGTTCCGTGGTGCCGAGGAAGGCATCTTCGATGTTCCGAGACCCTGTGGGAAGGCCTGGGAAGGTTGGGCAGTGAGGGCAGTTGCCTTCTGATTGATCTCCTCTTGGAGAGCGAGGGGCGCTGAAACAGGCTTGCTGCAGAAGCCACTTAGGGAAAAACGACAACTGTCGTGTCTCCTTCTGTGGAGCCCTAGTAACTTCCCAGCCGTTCAAAGCACAATACTTCAGTGAACCATTGTCAGTGAACCATTGTATTCGGTTTTGGCTTCACATCCCAGTCACCTACGACACTTTCAGAAACTGCATATTCCCAGGCACCACCCCTGAAGTACTTAGCAAGGCTAGGATGGCCCTGAAATCTGTGTTTTTTAAAGCTCTTCAAGCGACTCTGATGTCAGGCCAGGGTTAAGAACCAGTACCCTGTGGATACAGACGGTCAGGCGGGCAGTTCTCCCTCTGCTTCGGAATGGCAGCTTTCCCTTCTGACCCAGATTCAGGCGGCTTGACTTGATTGTGTATGGACTGCGGCCAGAGGCCGGGATTCTCTTCTTTGTAGTCATGTCTTAGGAGGATAGGGTAACTGCATTGTCACGGAAAGGATCAGGTGTCCTTTAAACATCCTAGCGACTGGGTATGTGGGTCAGGTTACACCAGGTAGGGTCATGGAACCACAGTCCAAGCAGAGCGTTCCCCAGACTCCCGTGGTTCGTGGCACTGGCACCGAGCGCCAGAGCGCTGGGAGCAGCAGGGAGGGGACGAGGAATGCTCGGGTCCGAGGGGCTGCGGAACTTCTCAGAATGAGGCCTCCAGGGAGCTCCTGTTACCATTTCAACATTCTGAAGGTCGTCCTCTTCAGTTCTGCCCCCCTCCCCCCACAAACTGAGCTCTTCCCTCCTCTACTAAGTCTTTTCCCAGATATTTTAGAGTTTCTTTCTTTTCCCCCAAAGTGAACTCCCCCATGTACTTGGACCTTCTTCCTTTAAAGAGGTGAACTGCTGATCTAAGGGAAGTTATGTGCAGGACAAAACGATGACATGGGAGGGTGACAAGCATTCTAGAGATTGCAGAGGCCCGCGTGGCCATTACCCCTTGTGCAGAGTTCGGGTTCTCTCCGATGTCCTTCCCTTTCCTTTTGTTCCTGAAAGTTCCCTTCCAGAAGTTCACATTCACTGGGGCTTCCGGTGGAAGCTGCTCTCATCATTCTGTACCCACCACATGGTGGGCACGGGGCTAAGTTCTCCACATAATTTTATGCAATTTAATTAAATACTCCAGTTTGGTCATTGTTATCCCCATTTTACAGACAAGGTGACTGAGGCTCAAGAAGCTAGAAAGTCACTTGTCCAAAATCATACAACTAGGATGTTGCTTTGTTCAAAGTCCTTGATATGGACGTAGACCCGAAGAAACTGATGATCACCCCAGATGGTTTTTGAGACTGAGATGGGGGTGGAACTGGGATGAGGCAGGTCAGAAGAGACAGGGGGATGACAGGTCTGCTCTTCACTGGAAGGACCCACACCCTGGGGGAGATGGCAGGAATGCTGTACCCTGTCTCTGCCTCTTTTCAGGATCCTGAAGCTTTCGTAGAACAGTGTCCTGGCCATCACAGGTCTCACCTGCCACTGCTAGCTCAAAACGAGACGCAGCCAGGGAGCCCTTGGACACACCCCCACTCTGCTGGTCGGGTGGGGTCTGGGGAGCAGGTGGCAGGCAGCTGGGTAGTGTGGCCGTAGGGGTTCTCACTGCAGGGCGCTGTCTGTTCTCACGGCGTTTCTTCTTTTTCCAGTTGATGTAAGTGTTCAAACCCCGGACTCTGTGCTGGTGACTTAGTTTATAAAACAGAATTATGGTACTTTGAAAAAAATTAGCATTCTGGTTTGGCATCCTGTTGAAAACCGGGATTTTTTTTGTTTCGTCTCCTGAATCTCTTTACTGTGGTCCTGAGTGAAGGGGAGGGGACAGAATCCACTAAGTTAGCCTGCATTCATTCTCGGAGGGCCTAGCTCTGTGTGGTCCTCGCCCTCAGGGAACTTGTGATCTAGTCCAGGAGAGAAAGTACAGAAAAGTTCCAGGCAGGGCTCCTGCACGTGCAAAAACCCGGAGGGAGGAGAAGAGAAAACACAGTGTGTGCAATGAACAAATACTCAGTAAGTGCGCATTAGTGACCCTCGGAGGGAGGTGCCTGCTGAAACGGGCGCAGAGGGGACCAGCCTGCGCTCCCAGAATTCTGACTCGGGCTGGATTCTGCGTCCTGTGGCACCTGAACATCGCCTTCCCTCTGGACTTCACACTAGGCTGTGGGGTTTGGGGCCAAGCCCTTCCCCCGCCTCACCCCCACTTGCTCATTCTTGCCTCTAAGTGTGAGACCAGCAGGCACACCTCTGGAGGCTAAACATTTTCCCCATGTCCGGAGTGTCTGGGAGGAATGAGCAAGCAATTTGCTCATTTGCACCCAGTGCGACCCCAAGTTACTGTAGCTGTCTAGCCCTGGCCTAGCAGCTCCAGAAGCTCTCTGGTACAGTTCCAGGCCGTCCCCACCCTGGATGGGGTGGCAGGGTCCTCAGGTTAGAGAAGGAAAAGCAAAGCAGCTATGACATTAGTCTGTGGCTCAGGGCATGTCACGGGGGACTGGCCAGGGTTCCGGTCCCCACTCTGCCACTCATTATTACAGCAAGGAAATTGCTCCAATGTCCATTTTTGGGTTTTTGCTTTTTTCAGTTTCTTTGATAAAGGGGTTGACCAAAGTCAGCCGTGGTAAATGCAAGCATTCGTGCTGTCCCCATACCCCCACCTTCTGTGCCGGTGACAAACCTTCAGCAGCTCCCTCATTTATACACCTCAGACCCTGCACACCTCCGCACCCCATTCTCCCCAACAATCTTTCTCCTGCCGAGACAAGAGGAGGCCTCAGCAGTCTTCTCAACGCAGTACTGCAGCCACGGAAATTGTGAGGAGACACGAATCCTCTTGGATCCAACAATTATCCGGCTCCGACGATTCTATGAAACTGAAGC